TTAGCTTTAGCGACGTGCTTTTCACGTCACTAATTAGTGACATGAAAAACACGCCGCAACCTGTTTTATTTATAAAAAAAATATTTTCTGTTTTAAATATATTAATTATGTTTTAATAATTAATATTATTTTTTATTTTATTAATTTATAAATTAAATATTATAATTTAATTATTAAATACAATATTATTAATCAAATTATCAAAAACAAAACTAAATATATCTAAATGTATAAATAAATATACTTAATATTATAAATTTAATAAAGTCAAATTTAAATTTATAATATTTTTAAATATACCATATCATTATAAATTTATATTACACAAATAAAAAACTAAATACAAAATAAAAATAAAACTAAGCAGAATCATCGTCGGAAATGTCGGGAAGAAAGTCATCATTATTTTGGTGGTTATTATTTTGGCCACCACTGTTGGGATTTCTACCAAATGCTTGCATAAATTGTCGCATTTGCTCCTCCATATCAGCTTGCCTCTTCGCCATTGCCTCAATTTGTCTATTATGTTCACCCCTCATTGCCTCCATTCGGGCATCCATTTGGGCCTTCAATGCCGCCTCACGATCTTCGGACTCGCGCCTAGCCAATTGTCTTACCAGTTCTAACTGATCTGGTGTCAAATTTGTTTGACGTGACCCTCCTTCACCGTCTGCAGCTCTCTGATACAGATTTCTATCCCCACTCCTCAAGGTGCCCGCCAAATTTCCACCACCAAAAAAACACCCGTTAGGCCCCTTTCCCCCAACAACTTGACTCCAAATATAGAAATCTATATCTGGGTGAACCGGTTTTTCTGGAGGAGGCGTATACTGAGGATTATGGGTCAGAAATTCTACAAGCAACGCCTGATAATTCTCCTACACATACAATAAAAAATCAAGTTAAATGTATAAGTAACATTAATGAAATTAAATGAAATAAAAATAATAATAAAAAATAAATAGCCACGTGATTGTAACGCCACAACTTATCAGTTGCCACTCAATTTTCACGCCACAACATGTCACTTGCTACATGAAAATCACGTCACAAAATTGCTTAAAAAAATAGAAAAATAAATTTACATTGACCTACCTCTTCAAATCATCAATTAAAGGTTGTAAGTACACATCAATTCCGGTTTTTGGACTCGACGGTCCTGGAATGACGCACGTCAAAAACATGTATGGTTTTGTCATGCACATCTCAGGAGGGAGATTGTAAGGGGTTACAATAACTGGCCAACAAGAATACGCACTTCCGGACGCTTGGACATATGGAGCAAAACCATCAGAGCATAATCCAAGCCTGACATTTCTAGGTTCAGCGAAAAAATCAGGATGTACCTCATCAAAGTGCTTCCATGCATGGCCGTCAGATGGGTGTCGCATATTGCCTGGGCTTGTTTTGTTTGTATGATGCCATGTCATTTGACTTGCACTGTGCATTGAAGAAAACATTCTTTTTAACCTTGGTATTATCGGAAGATAAAACATGGACTTTACTGCTACCCGTTTTTGGTTACTGTTAATGGCTCTATTGCGAACTTTATATCTTGGACTATGACAAAACTTACATTCCTCTGACGATCCATCTTGAGTACCAAACTCGTTGTCATAAAACAACATACAACCATTAGTGCAACAATCAATCTTTCTTACTCTTAAACCCAACTTCGACACCAACTTCTTTGCATCATAGAAACTCGCAGGCAAGTTGTCTTTCGTTGCAGTTGAGTCCAACATTTTGTGAAGTGCTCCAAACACTGATCAGGAACATTCCAATTTGACTTGGCGGCCAATAATCTAACACACATTGATAGCTTTGAGTCTGACGACCCCTCAAACAACGGCGTATTCATCTCATTCAACAACTGATAAAATCTCTGCGCTTCCTCATTCGGCAACTCTTCCTCGTCAAAGTCTTCAGGTTGATCATAGGTCACATTAACACCAAAAGCATCACCAACCATGTCACCTATCAGATTAAAGTTTTCTTCAAATTCCATAGGTGGTTGCATAACCGGTTGACTACTTGAAGCATCTGTGTTTCTAGTCTCTGGTACATTACTCGGCAGTGTTTCACCATGATGCGTCCAAACCCAATAATTTTCAATGAAACCTTTCCTATGCAAATGTCGTGTTATTTCCTCTGGGTCACTAATTATATATCTACATCCACATTTAAGACAAGGACACCTAACTCTTCCTTCACTTCGACAACGTTCCTGGGCAAACGTCCACGCGATAAAACCATTAACCCCGTCTATAAAATTGGGTTTAAGTGCGCGTCTTCCTGGATATAGTCTATCGTACATCCAACTACGATAATACATATAATATTTCATTTACTGCAAATTTATATAATCAAAACCTATTTAATTAGAAATATTAATTAATCAACTTAATAATAATCCTAAACATATACAATTAAAGATAAATATATGCTTTCAACAATACTTATAAACTCCAAAAAATATTTTTAAACACTTAAAATTTAATTTAAACACCTAAATTTTATAAACTCCTAAAAATTTAAAAACTAATTAAACTCCTAAAAATTTAATTTAAACACTTAAAATTTATAAATTCCTAAAAATATTTATTTATTTTTAAACACTTAAAATTTAATTTAAACACCTAAATTTTATAAACTCCTAAAAATTTAAAAACTTATATAAACTCCTAAAAATTTAATTTAAACACTAAAAATTTATAAACTCCTAAAAATAAAAAAACTTAAACTCCTAAAATAATTAAACTCATTCATCATCACAAATTAATAATTAATAATTATTATAAACTAAATAATTAAACCTAACATTTAACTCAAATACAGAAAATATATATATAACCCAAATTCAACAATTTTAACCCAATGCAAATTAATCAAAATCAGAAAATATACTAATTTCAAAAAAAAATTCAAGACATACCTTTTATCTTGTAACTCCTTCAATCTTCTTGTCCCTTTTTGCAATCTATACTTCTATATTCTCCTTCTCTATTCAAAGAAAATTTGAAAAAAATTTATACTCAAAATAACACATCAAAAGCTATTAACAAAGTATATAAAACATGAAATTGAAATTACCTTACAAAATGGATGAAGATGGTAGGAATTAAAGAGTGGAGAAGAAAAATTTTTGGGGAAGAAAATGGGTATGGTTGAAGAGTGGGGAAGAAAATTTTTTGTGAAGGTTGAAGATGAAGAAGTGATAGAAACAGAAACGTTGTGGAACGTTTTCATAAATTACATAAACCACGTAGCGACGTGAAAATCACGCCGCAACGTTGCCACGTGATTTTCACGTCACAACAAATTTACAACTGTTTTCTCTTCCTTCAAAGCCTGCACACGTCAGTGTTGGAAGTTGTGATTGAATTAAATTTTGTGATATTTTAATTAGCGACGTGAATCCCATGTCGCTACTTTTTTTAACAAAGAAACGTAACTGACACACTCAATGTATCGATTTTATATTATTAAAACACATTGCCACGTGATTTTCACGTCGCAACTTGTTTTATTTAGCCACATGAAAATCACGTGGCAACTTCACGTGGCTGGAGAAGTTTTTTCTTGTAGTGCAATGGCTAAAACTTAATCCATACATTCATGATCATATACCGACAACTAGAAATTCATCCTGCCATATAGACGTTCTATCCTTTCTACGACATAAAAGTGATTGTCTGCAGGGACTGGATGACCTTAGGCGCCTTCCTTTGGGAGTGGTTTGTTTAAATCTTATCCCAATCTACAAGGTTTGAAAGACAAGTTTGCAAGAATATGAGGGCGAGATAGATCCTCGACATTTACTACTAGGACAAATGACGCCACTATTTCCCTTTGGTCTAGGGGGTTATAAAAATTATATTTTTACCATTATAAAGATATACGAGGTGTCGGATGAAATTTGAGGCTTAGCAAATAAATTCTCAAACAACCAATAGTTATACCTTAAACAAAAATGAATACAATAATAATTCAGTTATAAAAGAAAAATCTAAAAGTACAAGTTGTACAACAATAACTTAAAACCTTTAAACAAAGTTTACGCCGAATCTAGAAACAAAAAAAGCATGACTAATTTAAGATCTAGTTAACACTAGTAGTTGTATCTATATTATTGTCTAACACCGTCATGTTTTTCTATTAATCTATCGTACATGATTAACCAAATTGAACAGAAAAATGAAACACATTCACATGCTAAGTTGTTGTTTGTTACTATTAGTACCATGTTACTAAGTTGACAAAATGCAACCAAAACAAATTAAACATCAAAGACGCCGCTGTTACCGCTAATTACAATCAATCTCACGCAACCTCATTTGCGTTCTTGCAATTATTACTGTTCCCTTTTTAACGCCTTAAAAATCGGAAACTATTTTCTTAATCATTTGTCTCTCTAAGAATCCTATAAATATCTATCTATCATGTCCTAAGTGAAACACAACTAAAACTTTTCTATTCATATTCTCTTTGCTTTGCTTTTAGAGTTTCGTTTTCACAACAATGGCAGTACGTTGCTACAGCTCCTCCATCTTGGTTCTTATCTCTTTGCTTCTTTTGGTTACATTCTCTAATGTAGCTGAGGCTTATGGACGAGCAAAACTCCGCCCTTCAGGTATATATACAATTCATGTCAGCAAAACACACATTAAGAATATCGTTACATTGATGTTTTAAAGTGTATTAATTTATTTATTTTATATATAAAAAAAAAAAAACAGATTGTAAACCAAGGTGTACGTATCGTTGTTCCGCAACTTCACACAAGAAGCCATGCATGTTTTTCTGCCAAAAATGTTGTGCTGCATGTCTCTGTGTTCCACCGGGTGTATATGGAAACAAGCAAGTTTGTCCTTGTTACAACAGCTGGAAGACAAAGGAAGGAAGACCAAAATGCCCTTAAGCTTCCAATTCTTCACATATTATAAGAAATGTAATATTTTTAATTTGGAAATGCTAATTGATTTCATACCTAATAGTGTATGAAAGGTGAGTGGTTTTACTTTTCAATGACACTCACCATCTATGGTTTTGTCCTTTTAACCATAATATTGAAGGTTGAAAGGTTTATTAAATTTTGGCATTTTGTTTTTCAATGTTGCTTTTTATATTCTACAATAAAATTAAAGCAATGCTCTGTTGCTCTTTGTAGTACTCCTAGTGCATATTTAGTTCAATTTGTGTTATTTGAATATTATATAACTGGAGACACCTTATGTATATATATATATGAAATATCATATACTATAGGTTACATCACTATCACCCATTTACTCTCGGTCATAAATCAATTTTCCATTTAATTTTATTTCTAAGGGGAAGGTTAGTCGCATTTTTTCGGTTGGTAGATTAATGTTAAAATTTATTTTGGTCTTTTAATTTTAAATTTTTTTATGTTAATCTCTTAATTCTTAAAAATATTTTTATTTTAATTTTTTTATCTAATTAATAACGAAAAAACTCAAAAATCAATCATTAAATTCGTTGTTAATTAAATAAAAATAATTAAAATAAAATGTTGTAAAGAGTTAATAAACCTATATAAAATAATTTTTTAAATTAAATAATTAAAATAAAATTTGAAATTAACATACGAAACAAAAAAAGAAGAGTATTTATCTTTTTTATTTTATCTAGGTAAATAACTAGATGTGCGAATTCAAATTCACACCCTATAAAAGTTTAAAACCTTAGTGGGGTATATTTAGCCTAAACGATATTTAAAACCTTAGTGGGATATATCTAGCTTAAACGATATTTAAAAATCAATACAATTATTCTCTCAATAGAATATATTCAAAATTTAACTATTAAATTAACTAACTAACTAACTAATTAATGTCTTAAACTACTAACAAAATCTATTCTTTTAATTATCCTTATTCTTAACAAAAAAGTGGCTAAAACTAAATGTGAAATAAACCTTAGGTAGCACACGATTATAATTAGGCAATTTTTTTTAACTCATCTCATATATTTTTTTATGTACTACGTAAAATTTTAAAAATGTTTTTCAAAATCGGAAGTATGGTGCGCACCAAGATCTGTTAAAGTATATATAGAAATCGGAAGTATATTTTTGATTTGAAACTAGATGTGTATTTTCAATTTTATTCTTCACAGAAACTAGAAAACATGTTTGGAACATAAACTTTACCATACAATTCATAACATAGACATAACAAATACATTAAGGAGTTGTAACATAAAAATAATAAAAAATTACAAATCAACACCCAGGTAGACGTTGCAACATCATGATAATATCATCGACCGATCTTGTTATAGTCGCATCTAGTTCGATCAGAATTTTTTCCTCAAAACTGGTAAAAGTATTCCACATAGCCTATAGATCATCGTCGTTCTTCAGCTCACGGTTGATGAACACAAGCTTCTCATCTTTGTCAACAGATGGCGCGCGGTACTCTATCTTCACAACTTTCTGATTGTCGCCGTAAGGTACAAGTTCCTGCAATATTTCACGCACATCTTGAATAGGGGTGTATACGGTGAACTTAAATTCGTGAGATGTTGTAGCGCCGGTAAAGTGGACAACTCCAACATGCCATTTGATCTTCAATTTCATGTCCATTTCTGGTTTTTGGTGTTGTGGTATGCAAAAATATAATAAGTGAGCTTTTTTATAGTAGTTGGAGGTAAACATGAATCACACAAATCCTATCTCTGTCAGTGATAAAATCAGAAGTAAATTTCCGGTATTTTACCAAAACTGGAACCAGAAGTATACTTCCGGTAAAGGCCCTGGGAATGAAAAACCAAAAACAGAACAGAAACAACAACTTTTATAAAAAAACTCATGTATTCAAATATCGTATTTTTGGTCAAACTACAAAAATGACTATATTTCCACATTATAATACATGAACAAAATGAAATTAATAATAAAATGCTACCTAACTACTTGAATGAGACAAAAAAAGTGTCGCCGAATAAATCTTCCGGTGGCACCCCTTTTGACTTTTTCCTATTTTTTCTATTTCAATTTGGTTTAACTTGTTGTATTCTTGTATCCTTTCAATGAATCCGTCTAGCCAAGTCTCAGATGAGTTTGTGAAATGAAGCGCCCACTCCGGTGATGTAGGTGATATAGAGCATCCCGGTTTCAAATAAACTTGAACAAAATGTCGCGGATTTGAAACCCACCCAACATATATGACACGATCATTAGGATTTCGTGTTAGAGCAGTGCATAGGGGAAAATAAGTCTCTGAGAAACCTTATCTTGTAAGATTAATACACACTCTCTCATACGCACTTGCTATGAGATGTACCATTTCAGAGAAGCACATCTATTTATCATCTGGTGCAGCTCCAACCTTGGGAGGTACAAGTGTGTGATATATTTCCTCAACCTTCTCTTTACTCCCTAGCACACAAGTATATAATTCTCTATTACTCGTTGTTGTACCCCAAAATTTTCTCTCTCTTTTTCAAGACATTCCTCACAAATGATCTCTAATTCTCAAGGATTCTCAAGGAATTAATCAGACAAAATCATCTTCGAAGCGTTGGGACTCCAAATTAGGATTTTGACTGAGAATGACCAATCTTTGACTTTTGACCTAGTACATGACTTATTGGTTCGAAATATGATCTCAAGGATTCAAGTACATCATTTTTACCTAATTGCATATTTCAATTTATCCCCCGATTGACAGATGAAATTTGGTCAGCTGATGAAAAAGTCAATTGTATACTAAAAAATCAAACTTTGACTTTTTGGTCGAATTTGAGTTTCAAAAATCACATTTTATCAAGACAATTCAAAATATGGAATTTGATCATCAAAAGTCAAGAAAGTCAAAAATAAAACTTTGCAAGATTTGGAAAAAATTTCTAAGTATTTTCTATATATGATTAATTTCATTTCTTCATGACATCTTTTCACCACAATTCAAGACAATTCAAATTGCTACAAGCTTTCAAGTAAATAACAGGGCTGCATTTTTAAAGTTAAAAATCGCAAGTTACAAATCTTAAGTTTTGTCTTGTTTGAATTTTTCCATTTGACTCAAATCTTCAAACCTTGCCACTATGGTGCCTACAAAACCAGACTTGTATCATGTTATAAATGTCGCTGCCCAGAAAAGCCCCAAAGTCCTATATGCTGTCAAGTCCAAGCCTGATGTATTGTCCACATAACAGCCCAAAACCTTGTTAAAAGACAGTTTGATGTCCTATATAAAAACAGCTCTGTTATGCTGCCTCTAAACAATGTCACAGTCTGCTCCAAAACCTGCAATGCTGCCCTGAAAAATATGCATCATACCAGTCACATGTTTTCACCAAATTTGCATATGAGAGCTACATATAAAAAGCAATGATACAACATACCCAAAAAGTTCAAAAATTCATTTGTTTCCCTTCCAAACTTCAGCCAACTTCATCTATAAATAAACTATTTTCACAACACACGAGAGGGGGGGTTTTAGAGAGAGAATAGATAGTTTTGAAAAATCTAACAGAACTTTTCTTGTAACTTCTGCTCATCTTCAGCTCTATCTTCATTTACAAAAACAAAATCCCAACCCATGATTCCACCTTACAAGCTCTCCCATAAACCATCCATCCAAACACTTCATACCACAGAGATTGTTCAAACACAAGAACAGTTTCTGTAGTGCCATTATCATCACCTTTCAAACACAAATAAAAGACAGTGTTGTACCCCAACATTTTTTCTCTCATTTCTCAAGATATTTCCTACAAAAATCTTCAATGCCTCAAGTTTGCGCAAGTATCGACTAGGTCAAACAATTTCCTCAACACTAATACCTCAAATTAGGGTTTGAGTTTGTACAAAGGTTGTGGGATTCATACTGTTTGTTTCAATTGACTTTCATGGATCATTATGGACCCTCAGGATTATTTTTGTCAAGTTTCAAATCTTGGATCACAATTTTCCAAGAAAGTCATTCAAAGTACCAAAAGGGCAAAATGGGCGAAATTAGGATTTTTACTGAAAATGACCGAACTTTGATTTTTGACCTAATACCTGGGTTATTGGTTGGAAGTATGATATCAAGGATCCGAGCGCGTCATTTTGACCTAATTTCATTTTCCAGTTCATCTCCTGAGATTAGTGGATTGATAGACAAAATTCAGTCAACGGGTGGGAAAAGTCAAATGTACACTAAGAAGTCAAACTTTGACTTTTTGACCAAAGTTGAGTCCCAAAAATCATATTTCATCAAGACATCCAAAACATGAAATTTGATCATCGAAAATTAAGAAAGTCAAAATTCCAACTTTTGCAAGACTTGGAAATTTTTCTAAGTTAAGTTCATTGCTTTACGACATCTTGTCACTACAATTAAAAATAGTTCAAGATGTTACAAATAATTCAAGTTATTACAAAGTGGCATTTTTGCAAGTTTACAAATCCTGAACTTTGTATTGCTTGGACTTTTTCCTATGACTCAAAACCACGGATGGAAAGGGTGCTAACACCTTCCCTTTCCATAATCTACCCCCTTACTCAGAAAATCTCGAAAAAGATCTTTTTCTGTTCTTTTCACCCTTTCCTTTGTTGGATAAAATAAAAGTCGGTGGCGACTCTTGCTTACCGTGACATTTGCGAACAAAAAACGCAAAACCAGTATAAACAGTCGGTTCTGTCATTGTATCACAGTAATTATGACATGGTTAAAGGGAATTTCGGGACATAGAGGAGAAGTATATCATAAAAGAAGACTGATTTGAAGCATAGTCAAAACAAAATCAAATTGTGTGATAAGAGAATAGAGAGAGAGAGAGAGAGAGAGAGAGAGAGAGAGAGAGAGAGAGAGAGAGAGAGAGAGAGAGAGAGAGAGAGAGAGAGAGAGAGAGAGAGAGAGAGAGAGAGAGAGAGAGAGAGAGAGAGAGAGAGAGAGAAGATGGAGAACTCAAGTTCATCACTTCTAATTTCATTTTCGAGCTCCAAGAACAACTTTCATTAATCAGGTTATATCTCCTAGCTCATAACTCCGATTGAGATGGTTCCAGACTTTTCGAAAAGCTTACAAAATTCTCTACACTTTGAATATAAGATTTGTCTTCTGTATGTTTATGATTATATAAATAATCACGTTTGAAGTTGGGGGTCTGAAGATGAGTTTACTATACGAGTTCTTGGGACAAATTTCAATCAACAAGCCACAACTTTTCAATCATAGTTATATTTCAGGTAATTCTCGAAGTTTTAAAATCTACACGAAATTCCCTTTATTTTTATGTATAATTTCATGATCATAGCTTATATATTGAAGGAGAAAATTGAGTTAGAGGT